CTTTATGGTTAATACAAAGACATGAAGCAAATTAGATGTTTTTTTAAGGAAGCTGAGAAACATCTTTTAAAAAGAGCAAAAAGGAATAACTTCCTTTAGAGGATAATTTTGTACTTAGTTAGTTTCAAAATAACATCTAACACCCCTGCAGCCAGACTGCAATTAGTATTGGTGGCCAGCTACCATATGTATTTCCATAGCATTTCTTTTATCCCTGTTCATTTGGATTGTAAACCAATAATGAAGGAGACACCTTGCTTATTTGAATTAAATTTTATTGCCATACTTTATGTAATTTTAACTGATTCTTTTAACTCCCTGGTGTTTGCTGAAACGTAAGTCGGTGGATCTTCTCGGTCCATTCAATTAATATTTCTCATAACAGGATTGTGTGTCATACCATTTGGCAGTGCTTAGTTTAGCTAATGTCCAGATAATATGCTCTGAATGGATTGTATTCTGGATAAGTAAGTTAGATATTTAAGTAGAAACCAGTGTGACTAATGTGGGATATCAAATTCTCTAGGTCTTGCAGTTCTATATATGCTTGAAGAATGCATGCAGGAAAGCATAAGCCATTTCATAACCTTGACTTTGGTTGCATCACATTGCTTTGTGCTGGTGTTTGCATTGGAAGCAGCTTGGGCGACCTCAGCACCGAGGGCTGACTGATGTTCTCTGTTGGAGTGTCCAGTTCTTCGTTTCGTTACCACGAGTGCTATGAAAGTCTGCTTTATTAAGGTCTTTTCACTCCTGTGGCTTCTCCAGCATATGAAGGAAATGTGTCTTAGCTCATTTAAAGGATATCTTTATGGTTTGGAAGCACAAAAATATGTCTTGTTTGGTAGAATCTTGCCCATGAAGCCAATATCTAAATATCACTGCAGGAGTGCTCACAAATAGCTCTGCATAGCCAAGGGCTAAGGAGTCATTACTGCCTGTAATGACTGCACTAGGCAGAACTGAAAAATTACTTCTTGAAACCTGAATTCTTCAGAACTGAAACTCTTTTCTTTCTATATAGATACCTAATAGATAATATAATATATGCTGCAACACATATGACACACTGTGTACTAGATAAAGGGATGGGCTCCACAATATTCAAGGAGTTAAACTGAAAATGCAACAAGTTTGCTGCAGCCTATTTTCATTTAACTTTCCAGGTTAACTTCGGTTAACCCAGGTTTGGGTTTTTCACACTGAACTAACGGATCGTCTTCCCTAGGTTTTGTATTTTTCCCCTTGCATGATTTGTTGGGATATCAGTCCAATGAAAGTAATTTAAAATGTGACTTGTTAAAAATTAAAAAGTGAATGTGAACTTTTTAAGATAATGAAAAGTAGCATTTTTCATGGGAGAGACGATAGTGGTTTATGTATGAAACTGAAATAGGAAATCTCGACTCCTTTTCCATTTATGCAGTAAACTGATCTTGTCATATTGGGTCCAAGACCTTCTCGTGAGGGGTTGGGTAAAGTGACACTCAAAGATCATTGGATCTAAGATCAGATTGTGGCATTTGTTATACTGACACTTTTCTTTGTTCTTGACTTATTTGCACAATGTTACTCTCAGCCATTTCAGGCTTTGTTTATGATACTATTCAAATAGTATCAGAATCTGTAGACTATTAAGAACCTCACTGATAGTAAGCAGAGATTGAGTATGGTAAAATGATACTTTAACAGTAAAATAATTTTAATGTAATTCATCCTTCCTTACTGAAGTCTTGCTTTCAAATATGGAATGGGACTTGGGAATAAGAAAAGCTGGTTCTTGCTCTATCACTGTTAATACATGTATCTGCTGTGTACAGAAATGATTTTAATTTCTAGGGATTTAGCACCATTCTAACAAAAGTAAGGTTTCTGAAAGAAAAAAGAATATCCGAGATGCTTTGCACTCTCTCTGATTTTTATTTCTCTGTTTGAAATTAGTTTTACCATGTGATAGTCTTAATTCTCATTGTAAATCATGTTCATCTGGCTTGTGGGACAATTATGATATAAACAGGTGGTCATAAAAGTATAATTTGCCAGTCAAAATAAACATTAGATTCTAGGGATTTCTGATTATCATCTGAGCGATGGGAATAGGGAGGACAGTGAGTAAGGCCCTGGAACGGATGGAGGCAGAAGGGTCTTTGAAGGTTTTGTTTAATTGATTCCTCAATGTAACCCTGTTTTTCCTTTGGGGCTTTCTGGCTCCCCCTCAGAATATGGGAATGATGTTATACAAGCAAATACCAGCACCTCAATACAATGATCCATGAGTTATGTCTTCCAAGAGGGAATGTGAAAAATTCATGCAGAGTAGAAATTAAGGGAAGTTTTTAGGTTTACAATAGCTACTAATTTAAGTACTTATTTGAAGTGTTGTGGGGTGTTCTTTCAGATAAATATAATTAACATAAATAAATGTCCTGTGTGTTTGGCAATGCTCTTTGCAATAGAATATGTCTGTAGCAGAAGCTGTGTGTGAATTTTGTTGTGTTGCATACCTTGAGCCTATTTGGCCCTGACAAGAAGGAAGACTTCCCTTTCAGTGTTATCAATGAGCAGCTATAGAAGCTAATATATCTTTTTTTTTTTTTTTTTAATGTAAGAGCTGCTCGTCTTCATCTTGGAGATAACTGAGCTCATTAGAAAAGTACAAGAGATTTTAGGGTTTTTCCTGAACTTACAGACTTATGGTGCTATTGCCCATGGTTTTTTTGCTCAGAGCTTCAGAAGCTGGGTAGTAGAACTATGCAGGCTATCTTCCTGACTTCCCTGCTATCTTTTCTATTTTCTCTGCCCACTAAAGATACCAGAATCAGTAGGGAAAGCCAGAAGAAACCTTCTTTATCAACTCTTGCCTCTGCTGTTGTGTGTAGCTTTATGAAGAGCTGTTAGCTACTCCTAAGAATAGAGAACTGAGAAAAGGAAAGCGAGGAGAACTAAAGAACAAGAAGAAACATCTGTAAACTGTAGCTGTAGGAATTATGAAGTACAGACATGCTGGTATTACAGTAGTGTTAGAGAATGTCACTCCTCTTTGTCTTGGATCATAACCAGTAAGGTTAGTAGCAGCCACGTAGCAGTCGTTCCTTTTAATAAACTTAACCTTCAGAAATTTTACATTATTATCCTGGTATATGATAGTGACAGATCTTGGGAAGTTTATCTTATGCTTTAGTTTTCAAATCATTGCAAGTATGAACAGAAGATTCCAAATGAGTTCAGAGTGTGCAGCACCACTAACCCCTTCTGTCCCAGCAGCTTGTGGAGGAGTGTGCTTCCTCCATCACCCAGGAAAAGTACTGGCTCTGAACAGGCTTAGATTGGCAAGAGTACCTGTTTCATTGCTGTCAGGTTAATAGAAGGTTTAGTGTTGGTTTATCTGTCCTACTAGATGAAATCTTGGGTTGTGTAAGGAATGACTTGTACTCAGGTTTTGTTCAAGTCCAATCCAGTCCTTCCTTTGGGAAGGAGGAGGAGTGTCTTTTCTCTGGCTGAATGCTTAGCTGTGTTACATACTCCAGGCTAGAAAACACAGCACCCACTGCCATCACACCACCCAAACTGTCCCTCTGTCAAACAGCAACAACCTGTTCTCTGTAACAGCCGTGATCTGTGACATTCAACTCCTGCACAACTCCTCTAAAAATCATGGAATAATTTAGGATGAAAGCAACTTCCATACAATTAGATCCATTTAACTCATGTGATCTGCTGAATACCAAATTAGTGTTTAAAGCTTTTTGTGCTTTCCCTTCCATAATAAGGTATAATCTTTGGATTTTTATGTGTTTCGAGTGTGGTGGGTTGAAAGGAAGAAAACAAGACTGCAATCAGAAATTAATTTCTATGTTTGTGGCTCTGACATGAATTTTGAACAAATTACTAAATATTTCCATATGTTTGCTGATATAAAATATAAATCGTTATAACAAACGTCTTACTCCTAGAGATCAAAGAATCATAGAATGGTTTGGGTTGGGAGGGATCTTAAAGATCATCTAGTTCCAGCTCCCCTGCTGTGGGCAGGGACACCTTTCACTAGATCAGGTCGCTGAGAGCCTGTTATTGGTCAAGAATGACATTATAGGTGCCTGATATGTGAGCTATGACTTTCTTTAGCATTTTATTGCTATAAATAGTAAAACAAATTGAATTTGATTTCTAGAGGCAGAGTAAATAGTCTTTTCTGTGTTTTTAAAATGGTAAAAGTTTTAGGATAAACACATAATAAGGTCCTATTGGCAGGTCAGTATCAAAGCTTACAAGTCTATTGGGTCCAGCGTCTGATCAGCTGGCATTTTCTGTAAATTGTGTTGATTTCTTCTGTATGGTTTCTTTATTTCATTGTTGGTTTTGTTACAGGGGTTGCTGTTGGGTTTTTTTTAAGTTTCAGCTGTGTTTTTCTGTAAAGAACATACTTGGCAATGAATTGCCATATAATGGACAGCCAGTTGTGCAATTCCATTTCAAATTGGAAAGCAACATCATTAGTGTTTTGAAATAACTGGGATAGGAGTGTTTTTATCATGAAAGTCATGCCTTTGTTGGACAATTTCTGAAAACGCACAAGGGGAACAGAAGATGGAGCTTCATCATTTATGAAGCTTCATCATTTATGAAAGGAATTATATGAAGTAATTTCCCCTAAACAAGACTGAACATAATGACAAAAATTCCACTAGCCATGTGCTGAGTGGATTATATATATTTTATATATAAATGCAGAGTAACATTAGGTTGAGATACCTTAGTAATCAATCCAAAAGATCTGTTGTTTGTTTAGCCTTAAATCAGGTTGACCTGAGCCAAAGAATTATATCAACGTGTATTGAGAACTGCTATTTTAGATCTACCTGAACTGAACTCTGAATGTGCTTTTATTTATTTTTTGTTTGTTTTGTTTCCCTTTATTAGTAGGTCATTGTGGTTCTAAGTACAAAGCCGCAGTTGCCTGATTTATAGTGTCTAAGTGTCTGTTCTTCTGTTCTCTTTAGAGATCGCAGTTGACTGTACCAAGTGCAGAGGCGGGAAATCAAAGGAGTCAAAATTTGGAAAGCAGCCCTTTCATGTCAGACCTGCTGAGCGACGTACCCTTTGCCCTGGCACCACATGTGTTAGCAGTGCAGGGCACCCACAGTGACGTTCCTGACCGATTGCTCACCTACGACATCAATGATAATTTATCAAGATTTTGGTATGACTTTACCCTTGAAAATTCAGTGCTTTGTGATCCATAATGTTTTCTTTATTTTCTCTGCCTCTGTTGAGGAATAAGTCTTAAAGGGAAGATCAAGACTTATTTTGTTTAGCTTAATATTTTGGGGGCCTACCACTGGTGTATCAAATGGGTTATTATTCACAACTGTGATATATTTCTTAGCTTTAAATGAACTGTAACTTTATATGTCAAATATTCTGTTTATCTCCAAAGAAATCAAGCAACCGTTTCAGCCTGAGTAGAGGACTCGCTGTTGGTATCTACTTCCAGTAGGTAGGCTGCAGACACAAACATTTCATAACTTTAGGAGGAAGTCCAGCATGTCTGCAATGTTTTGTTATTTTACTCAGTTATCCAAACACATAGATCTTGTTACTCGTGTTAAGATCTCCTCTGATTTTGTACAGATAGAAACCAATATTAACGCTAAAGCAATGCTGCTCTGCAGAACTGGACAGACAACTTTTCTGTGAAACCAAGTTTTAAAACTCAGAGTTAATTATGAGTCCTTAAATAATCTTGAAGACTTAATAAAATTGGTTAAACTTATCAATTTCAAAATGAAAGTCAGTTGCTTCCTTCCCTTTTCCAGTAGATGGTATTTTGTTGCCTGCCTGGAGAAGTCCTCCCCGCCTGCCTGTTGGCTGCTGTTTGTTCTCATTACCACATGTGTTCCTGATTTATATACAGATCAGCTTTTCCATTTTAACCTCTTTGCCCTCTGAAGAAGGAAATCTCAGGACACGTACTTTTAATGGTCACACCCTTCTTTTTTTAATTTGTGTGCCAGAGATACAGATGGCAATGTTTAACAACAGGAAAACATTACATTGTTTCTTATCCAACTAAATTAAACTGCTAAGTACCTAAACATGCGTTCTCACAGACCACTGTGTCCCTGCTCGCAAGCTTTGAGCATGTTTTTCCCTACTAACACCAGAGCTGCTGTTCCACGAGCAACAGCTCTCTGATGTAATGTCACAGTTTGTGAAGAATGATCTGTGGCACACAAAAGACTACACTTGTTTTCTCTACTGGGGTACAATATTTCTATTGTGCCAAATGTTAGTGGATATTTTCTTGTATTTTCTATGCTCTGTGGTAGTTTAAAATACATATATTTTCAGACTTGCATCCTCTTACAGTGTTTGAGATAAGTACTGTAGATGGTGAAGAAATTACATTGTGAATATATCTTAGATTGTTAAATATTTGTGGTTTAGAGTTTTTTTAATGTATGTATTTAATATTTTTGACAGCTATGTTCTTGAATGTTTTGAAGATATTGTTTCAGGGAGAGTATCTGTGCTGCACTCCAATAAAAAGATGCTAAGTAATAGTGAGTTATTTTTTATGTGTGAGAGTTTTCATGCGGTTTCACATATATTGTTGACTACAGCTGTGACCATTCAGCTTTCATGGGAACTTGAACTTGAAAATTCAATTTGAAAATCTTTTCAGTGTCATTTAAAAATTGGGGCTCTTCTAATATATTGTGTCACGCTTTCATCTGATGGATTCTGTGTGTTGTGCTGGTGACTTGTGATGGCTTAGGTGGCATGCCTGATACTGCTTTGAGGATAGTGCGGCTAGGAGCTGGGAAGTACTAAGGCCTCTTGGGGAACAATTAATTTTACAAAGTTGTTCAGAACTGTCTTGTGTGCTGAATTTTCTAGTTAACACATACCTGAAGCACTAAATTTAATTTTCATTATTTTATATCTAATAGTTAAAAAATGGCTCATTCTGCAAATAGCATGTTTCCATTCAAGTTGTCTATTTTGAATCTGAAACATTTATGCAGCTCAGCTGGTCTAGAAGCAGAACTGTAAAGCACTGTTGAAGACCAAACAAACTTACAATACTTGTTCTTTCTTTGCTAGCTGACTTGGCATGTAGTTTTTGGCATTCATTTTTTTGCCTAAAGTTAGACAATTTATCTAAATAATTACAACTTGTCAAATTCGAGCTCTGTTACACTCAAAAATACCCCTTCAAAAGAAAAAGAGAGCCAAAGGAGAGTAGAGAGGAGGTTGTATTGAGCGGGAGGAGAAATGTGGGTGGTAGATTAAAATTTGGCCTTCACTCTTAATCATCTTACATTAGAGGAGCAAGGGTACTGGGAATGTGTCTCCTGACTGCCCTCCCTTTAGCAAGAGCTGGGTCTCAAACACTTTCCTTGCTTGAGATCATCCCTAAAAGTCAATTGAAGTCTTATTGCATCCACACAGTGAAGGTGAATCTCTTCCCACTGGGACAATAAAAAAATACATTTAAAGTTACTATAAATTAGTAAGATTTATGGTACTACTATTTATCTACTAATAACATGAAGATGGCACAAAATCTTCAAAGCATTAAAGATTTCGAAGAGTCTCAGTTCACAAAACTGTGAATTGCTTGTGTAAGGTAAGTTTGACATCATATGCTGATTATTGCATAGCATATATGTGAATATATGTGTATCTGTCATTGCCAACAAGTATTGGATGGTTCTATGTATTGGCATTCAAATCTTTGACTACTGATGAAGGAATATTGTTAATTTTTAAAAAATAATTAAAATAACTATTAAATAACTATAAAATAACTATTAAATAACTATTAAAATAAAATCTATATCAAAAATAATAAACCATCTTGGCTCTCCTTTCTGTATGTTCTGTATATAATAATCAGAAAATGAATAGAACTATTTGCTTTGTTTTATGCATATATATGTAAACTTTTTGGACAGAGCAGACAGATATTTAACAGCTAAAGTCATTAACATCAGAATTACAACAGATTGCCAACTCCAGAACTAATAATGAAAGACTGAGGTGTGTTTCCTGTGCCAGTGAAGTGCTGTAAATAGAAGCCTTGCTACTGCCATTAGTGTACATATTACTAGGCCTGCACTCCTTTGTTAAATAGTTTATTTAGAGTTACCTTAGTTCATGGGAGAATTTGAGCTTCATTTGCCATTCTCTACATTTTCCTTGCAAAAGGTGAACTCTGTGTTGTGGGATAGTTTCCTTATGGAACTTTCTAATAAATCAAGCCTAAAAAGACACTTATTATTTCCTCTGGAAAAGCTGTAAATACAGGCTCTGGAAAAGTGTAATTTGGAATGTAGAAAAAGGGGAGTGAGGCCCACATGTTCAAAAGTAAATCAAAGAATAATTGCATCCAGAAGAGCCTGACAGAAGGTTCACTGGGAGCTGGTCCCTACAGAGAACTCCCCAGTGACAAACACAGAAATGGAGCCAGACAATGCCATGTCTGGCAGGTCAGTCAAGGCGGTGGTTACAGATCCAGTTTCTGCTCTTTTCTCTAAAAGTATGATCCAAACCCTGATATGACAGTCAGCAAATATACACTTGTGCGGTCACAGAGGAGAGGTTTTGACCCTAAAGCAACTAAAGGAAAAAAGGCAAAGAGCACATTCACCACAGCAATTACAGTATCTCAAAATAACACACAGTTTTTTGCATTTTTAGCTGAAGAACCTGTTATGTTCACAAAACCACTAAGGCAGCCTCCTGGGCAAGAAGAGCAAGTTGTTTTGAACAATAGCATAAAACCTGAGCTTGAGAAACTGTCCTCATCCCTACAACCACCCTTTTTTATGACACAATAATTCATCTTGCTTTGTGTTTTCTCTGCTCAGCCTAGTGAGTATGGAGAGAGAGGAACCAGAACTGCAACTCCTTGGGGTAAGTAACTGCAACTTTTCTGCAGATGACAGGGCAGTTCCAGATTAACCAGATTCGTTTTCGAAGCTAGAGACTGTCTATACAGCAAGAAAGAGGCAGAGTATCCTCCTAAAACTCCAAAGGTAGACACCTGTTTGGTGCTGTAGAAGACAAAGGTTTAGTAACCAAGTTCATTCAGCCCACCTGCTATGCTGCAACTCTTCATTAGCATTAAGCTTGGCATTCTGTAACAAGCTTGCAAAGTTAGAAAGCGGGTATGCTAGGCCTGATTTTTTCCCATCAATATGTCAAATTCCTTAAACTAAGCAAAATTATTGATTTCCCTGTATCCTCCACTAAGACCATGTTATTTCTCTACCAGAGATAGATATTTATGTTCTTTGCATCTCCTACCTCTTCCTTTTCAACATCCTCCTTCTGAGAGATGAGTTCCCACAGAGAGTTTCTTACCTCTCCTTCTGTCTGAATCACAGCTATCCAGAAGAAGAAGTATTAGTATTCATGCTTACTGGAAGGAGAGAAAAATCGCTCCCTTGTTCCTGTTGTGTTGACAGTCATTTGACTTGGAAGCATTTCTGCCCATAGAAAGAAACTGAGGATTTTGTCAATTCAGAATTTCAGTATTTTCAGATGCCAGGAGTGCAAGAAGTAAACTTGATCTTCTAGGCATGACATCTTGCTGTCTGTTTCATTCTGGAGCACACATTTTAGATTCTACGTACAAGTACATGAAGTTTTCTTTACATTACATGATGCTAATGAGTAAGACTGGTCTAATTGTCCAGCACGTGCAGCCGGGCTGGCTGAATGATCTGAAAAGGAGTAAGATCCAAAGCACTACTTTGACCTCTCTGCGTGCAATCCCTCGTATGACAACTCTCTGTGGAGAATTTTTTTCCTTCATGCATAAATGTTTTTAAGCATTCAGTGGAACTCCTAAAAAAGTAACACTTTAAACTGTGTTTTCTGAAGCATATTAATGGAGAGTTTTTCTATATTTTTGGGGATTGTAATAGATCTTGACTATTCCTGGATATAAATCAGTATTATGCCCCTTAGTCTTTTTTGCGTGCATGTAGTAGACAGCACTGTGGTCCCTAATGCTTCGTGCCTCTGTTCATTAACAAAAGTAATGGTAGAGTAATGATGGATCACATACTCTTTTCAGCATTTCAGAGGAGATAACGTCTTTTTAGTCTGCACCTTCCATGCAGTATCCTTCCTAAACTGTGTTCTATTCCAAAAAACAGTCAGTGAATATTCCATTAAAGTTTATTTTCTGATGCAGTATCAGAGTAGCTCAAAGAGCTTTGCTGTATCACAGCTCAGTGTTTTATCAAATGCATCCCTTCTGCAGGAGCAAAAGTCTGAGCCAGCTGCATGGTTCATAAAATAAACCAGAAGCTTTCAGCAGGTTATGATGAGATGTTGAAGAAGCCTTTTTTTAATTCTGTAGCAAAAGAGAGTATCTAATGATGGAAGTGGAAGTTATGGTGACCCCAGAAGGATGCAGCAGCTGTAGACCCGAGACAAGAGAGGGCTTAGTTCTGTCAACCAATTCAATTCACTTTTCCTTGCTGCAAATATAAAATAAACTCTTGAGATCAAAGATCTAATTTACAAGGCTGTCCCCTCAAGTCAGTTGACACATGTACTTCAATAACAGAACATGAAAGAAACTGCTCAAAAGCAAACAAAAAAAATGAGCCTCAATTATATACATCCTTCATCCAACTCTTTGTGGCTATCAGCATTACGGTTAGAGTAGCCATTTGCATCCAAATGTTCATGTAACTGTTCTGGGAGGTCAGTTTTGGGCATCCATCTACATGTCACTGGAAAAGAAGCAGGTGGGCTCAGAAAACAAAGCCTCAGGTGAAATAGCCCATCACAGTGAGAAGGGAATTACTTATTTAAAGCAACTGATACTTGTTAGAACTTCAGTCTGACCAGTGTGTCAGCCTTTTTGTGAAGAGTTCTGCTATTAATCTATTTTCCAAAAGAAAATGAAATAATGCATGATGTTTTGAGAACTGTAGTGTAATTTCCTTTCTAAGCTGTTTTTAGAAACTACTGGTGCATCTGCTTGGCTTATTCTGCTCTTAAAGATATTTTTAGAGTACTGCAACTCCAATTTTGTCTATGTTATGTTTAAATAGGGTTTATGTCAAAGACTTAATATTTATCTTACCAATTGATTCAGAGTATCTTCTTGTTGTTATTATTTGATTTTAATGTCTTCTGTAGTTTGGCTAATTCTCCTTCAATTGTTTCTGAAATAACAAACATTTATACTTCTCCCTCTACTTGATAGGGTGAATAGAATGTGCATTAAATTTATCCCAGAAAGGACTGTCAAATTTTATTTCACGTAGCATTACAGTACTTCCAGATATTATATATCATTCATAGTATAATTATGGCTAAAATTGGACATATGAGGTTAACGTTCTCTATTTTTTTTTATGTAGTTCAACTCATGTTGTAATTTAACTTGTGTTAAACTTCCTGACAAAGTAGGAAGTTGTCCTATTGTCAATTGATACTTAATTAATAGAGGGATTTAAAATTGCTTCCTTTTTATATATACTTCCTTTTTACCACATACAGTTTGCAGTATATGTGTTCACACAATGACCAAGTTAAAATAACTGCTTCAAAGCTAGAAGTTGCTGTCAGGCTTTTAAATGGCATCAAATAAGAGGCTGTTGATTTTGAAATGGAAATGTAGTGTTTTGCTGTAGATCTCTCAAATGCTTTACAGTAGAAATCAGTATTAAGAATAATCAGTATTAAGATTCATCTTAAATC